GAACTCTTCAGACAGGGATTGGACTGGACTGTGGGACATAAAGTGATACTCGTGAGGAGTGTGCCTCTTAGCTCAAGTAGATACAAGAGACTAAACGGGCAGCTCCTGTCCGGAGGTGAGACGGGGAGGCAGAGAGGGTTCGGAGCTGGTTGAATGGACATGGGGAATCGGGTGGAAAGGAGGAGTGTGCTGTCACAGGATGGGGAGAGCAATTAGGGTCATGTAACAATGTATGTAGAAATCTTTGGGAGACTAATTTGAAATGTAAACTTCATTTTAAACTACAACAATAAAAAAGGGTGTTAGACTGGGACAAATTTTCCCAAAATAATGTATTTCTGGATCTACAGGATATCATTAACATACAAAAGAAAAAAATGCATTTCTATGGTCAGTTAAATTTGGAAAATTCTGGATTAAGCAAAACAAATGTGTTTCCTCATCGCAGGATTTTCAGTGCCTTTGAAATTCTCATGTGCTTTCTTTTCTCATCTTTAAATGGGGAAAAATGTGCCTACCCCATGAAGTCCTTGTAAGGATTAAATGAATCAGTTCTAAGCACTTAATAAATGCTAGTTTACACTGTTTGAAAAAGCTTCAGCTCTTTAAAATACATTTGTTAAGAACATAAAAGGAAAACCACAGATGAATTAAACATTCACGACACATGTATCTAAAGAAGGGCTTGTATCCAGAACATATAAAGAACCTATACATCTCAATATTTAGAAGACATAAAAGTGCAAAAGATTTTAACAGATACTTCACAAAGATGTGAACGACCAATACAAACGGGAAAGGATGCTCAACATCATTAGTTATTAGGTAAATGCAAATAAAACCACAATGAGATACCACGTCATACATTGCTGGTGGGACTGTAAAATGGTGCAGCCACTTTGGAAAACAGGTTGACAGTTCCTCCAAATGTTAAACATAGAGTTACTGTATAATCTAGCAATTCCATTCCTAGGGATACACAAAAATGTGTATATGAATGTTCATAGCAGCGGCATTTATGTGAACCCCAAAGTGGAATGAACACAAACATAATCGCTGGTGTGTATTAAATAGATACATGAATTGTGCTATATGCATACAATAGAAAGCACTAAAAAAATAACTACTGATATATTCAACAGTATGAACAAATCTCAAAACATTATGCTAGGAGAAGTCCTACACAAAAGTTATTGTTAGATGCCGCCAAGTTTGTTCCGACTCATAGTGACCCTATGTACAACAGAACGAAACACTGCTGGGTCCGGAGTCACCCTTACAATCGTTATGCTCCAGCCCATTGTTGCAGCCACTGTGTCAATCCACTGCTTTGAGGGTCTTCCTCTTTTTCACTGACCCTCTACCAAGCATAATGCCTTTCTCTAGGGACTGGTCCCTCCTGATAACATGTCCAAAGTATATGAGACGATGTCTCGCCATCCTTGCTTCTAAGGAGCATTCTGGCTGTACTTCTTCCAAGACAGATTTGTTCATTCTTTTGGCAGTCCATGCTATATTCAATATTTGCCAACATCATAATTCAAAGGCACCAATTCTTCAGTCTTCCATATTAATTGTCCAGCTTTCACATGCATATGAGGTGATTGAAAACACTACTTTAGTCTTCAAGGTGACGTCTTTGCTTTTTAACACCTTAGAGAGGTCTTTTGCAGCAGATTTGCCCAGTGCAGTACATAGTTTGATTTCTTGACTGCTGCTTCCATAGGCATTGATTGTGGATCCAAGTTAAATGAAATCCTTGACAACAAAGTTTTCTCCATTTATCATGATGATACTTATTGGTCCAGTTGTGAAGATTTTTGTTTTCTTTATGTTGAGATGTAATCTATACAAGAGGCTGTAGTCTTTGGTCTTCATCAGTAAGTGCTTTAAGCCCTTTTCACTTTCAGCAAGCAAGGTTGTTTTCATCTGCATAATGCAGGTTGTTAATGAGTCTTCCTTTAATTCTAATGCCCTGTTCTTCATATAGTCCAGCTTCTTGGATTATTTGCTCAGCATATAGACTGAGCAAGTATGGTGAAAGGATATAACCCTGATGCACACCTTTCTTGATTTTAAACCACGCAGTGTCCGTGTTCTGTGAACGACTTCCTCTTGGTCTACATACAGGTTCCTCATGAACACAATAAAGTGTTATGGAATTTGCATTCTTTGCAATGTTATGCATAATTTATGATCCACACAGTCAAATGCCTTTGCATAGTCAGTAAAACACAGGTAAATGTCTTTCTGGTATTGTGTGTTTTCATCCCAGATCCATCTGACATCAGCAATGATATCCCTTCTTCCACATCCTCTTCTGAATCTAGCTTGAATTTTTGGCAGTTCCCTGTTGATATACTGCTGCAGCCTCTTTTGAATGATTTTCAGCAAAATTTTACTTGTGTGTGATATTAATGATCTTCTTCGATAATCTTCACATTCTGTTGGATCACCTTTCTTTGCAATGGGCACAAATATAGATCTTTTCCAGTCACTTGTCCAGGTAGCTGTCTTCCAAATTTCTTGGCGTAGATGAGCGAGCACTTCCAGTGCTGCATCCATTTGTTAAAACATCTCAGTTGGTATTCTGTCAATTCCTGGAGCCTTGTTTTTCGCCAGTTCCTTCAGTGCAGCTTGGACGTCTTCCGTCAGTATCATCAGTTCCTGATCATATCCTACCTCCAGAAATGACTGAATGTCGACCAATTCTTTTTGGTATAGTGACTCTGTATTCCTTCCATCTTCTTTTGATACTTCCTGCATTGTTTAATATATTCCCTGTAGAATCCTTCAATCCTTGCAACTCTAGGCTTGAATTCTTTCTTCAGTTCTTTCAGCTTGATAAATGCCGAGCACGTTCTTCCCTTTTGGTTTTCTATCTCCAGGTCTTTGCACTTGTCATCATAATACTTT